ACTGCTTCAAAACCTTTCAGTTCAGTATTAAGTATTCAGACAACTTTTTATCTAATTTCCCAAATGTTTTCTAAAACAATTCTGGTGTAATTCCTCTTTCTGCAGGTTGCTCTGACAATCTTCTTCCTCCCTCCTCTGGTTTTTGCTCTTTTCTGGTAGTGGCCATTCTATTATTATAACCCAAAAGTGAAAGTGTCTCAATTAAAAGAGGAAAAGTAACAGGCAGAATTTCTATTCTTTCTATTTTGTCCATAACCATATAACTTTATCCATATACTTTCATCTCAAATGCAATCAAATGGTAGTAATAGTCATGATTGCAATCTGGCACCTATTAGGTATGTTTTGTAAAATCTGCCAATTATCTACACTCTTTAATGCTAAACACATAGCATTTCCATGAAGGTCAAGTCTGCTTGTCTGCTTAAAACCAAAATTTTCCTCTCAGTCTTTAACTCCATACAGATGGGCAAGCCTAACTCAATTGGGAGGGTGTAGTGATTAAAGCACCAAACTAGAAACCAGGAGACCATGAGTTATAGTCTTGCCTTCTGCACAAAGCCAACTGGCCAATCACTCTCTCAGCTCTAGGAAGCAGGCAGTGGCAAACCACTTACAAAAGACTTTGCCAAGAAACTTGCAGGGCTTCTCTAGGCAGTCACACCAAGAGTCAACATTGACTTGCAAGCATTCACATCCCCAACAAAAATCCTTCAGTTTTCTATTGTATAACTAAATGGTGACCTAAAACAATCATTCCTTAAATGCCAGTTTAATATTAGGTAGCTGGGCCAAAGGAAAAAATTGAAGCCCAGTGGCAAGAAAGAATCCCCATTTGCAAGGATGAAAAGGGCTGTGCATGTGTCCCTAGAGATCATGATGTTTAAAGCCAATTTTACTCCACAGTAATGTATTACTCTGGCATGTAGTGCTAATCAACACATATCTCAGCACAAGAAAGTCCCTACCAAGGTCAATTGGACTTATTGCTTAGTAAATTTAGAATAACAACACAAAGTTTGCTTTGCTTTGTTTTAATTTTAATCTTGCTCTTCTGCTCTATCACAATCAAGGGTATATAATTTCTTTTGTGTACAAGTCCTGAAACTATACTTCATTTAACTAGATGTTCTGCTAGTTGTGGTTAAAGAATGTCAAAGAGCAGGATTTAACAAGTCAAACCAAGGAAAGGAAGTAAAACTCAAGAGATACATATGCAGGTCCTTTCAGACTCCAGTAGAGGTCAGATACCTACACGAAAGCTAATTTATCGCAGCATGATAGATTGTAACAGTTCATTTAGAGTTCCATTATATAAATCACTTAAATATGTATTTACATAACATTCCTATTAATTACCACAAAATCTGTAATGATTCTGTCTGAGCTGTTCCAGTTTATCTTGCAAATTTTTATTTAAGCAATTCAGTAGTATGTAATATTTAATCAATGCATTATAACTACCCATTTATCATGCCAAAGTTAAGAGTAAACAGCAACATTTGGACTGGATAGAACTTAATGGATTTGCCAAATACTACATCAATAATACAGGTGTTATTCTCTCTCTCTCTCTCTCTGTATGTGTGTGCACACACAGTTTATATATGCTATTTCACATTAAAGTTTTAAAACAACATGATGAAAAAGATTAGATTTTTGCAGTTTTGAGAAAGCCCTCAGTTTCTTAGTCAGGTTCTTATCTTTTAAACTATATATTCTATACATGGTGAATCCTCGCCCTTTTTCTCTGTGTTAGTGTCGATAAAGTTTCCACTGGGCTATTTTATTGCATATCAGATAGCTATGGCTAACTAAACTCTGGAGCAAAAAGAAAAAAGTTCATAACCAGAAATCAAGTCAGTCAGAGCACAGGAAAGTGCATATTGTATAGAAGGAGGAGAAAAACATGTCATCTTGTTCTACAGTTTAATGTTTTTTGGTGGATTCAGTTCTATCATAAACATTTTGGGATTAATAACTATACTATTAAGTCAAGGTGCTAGTTTCTCTGAAAGGAGAGAAAAACACAGGAAACATCCAGGAAAGTGAGAAATAAATACGTCTACTCCGCTTCAGGATATTATGATCCTGGTGTTCGATCATTCATAAGAAGAAAAAATGACCGCAGGTTTAATGATGTAATGTATTGGGAACAGGACATTTTGTGATCATCCTCAATTTTGCTTGTACCCAAAACATATAATTTACTGTGTTAAGTGAATATTTCTAGTTTTGTCTTTTGTGAGTACTATATCAGTGCAAAAAAATCTTGCTTTTCTTTTTTTTAATAGAGGCTTTAAATATTCACCTAAGCACTTCTAACTCCTAAATATAATTAGTAGTCACTTAAGCAAAAATTTATGGCTTAATAACAATTTATTTAGGATTAAGGAACTATAAAAAATACCACCACAGAAAAAAAAAACCTCCCTTAAAAAAGGAGAGAGAGAGGGAGAGGGAGAGAGGGAGAGGGAGAGGGAGGGAGAGAGAGAGAGAGAGAGAGAGAGAGAGAGAGAGAGAGAACACACTATATTTTATAGTGGTTAAGGCCCTAGGTTAGAAACTGGGAGACCATGACTTCTAGTTCCACCTTAGGCTCTCTCAGCCCCTAAGAAAGAGGCAAGAGCAAACCACTTACGAAACCTTGCCCCCCCAAAATTGCAGGGACTAATAGAGGCAGTTGCCTGGAGTAAACACAACTTGAATCCCCCTTCCCTGCACAAAAATAGCTGTGTAAAAGTCCTAATTATTGCAAGCAACTATTTATATATAGCAACTGTTTGATTGGCTACTGCAGTTATTTATTTGAGGTGAATACTATTAATCATTGCTATGGCTATTTTATAATTGCTTTAATCCAATTCACTCCCATTTTTCTTCATAAGGTTTTTTTTTACTCATTCTGATTTTATTCATTGTTATGATTGTCATTTTTCCTTGTTTGCATAACTATAAGAACTTGGTTCAGGCAGGCAGTCTAAATACGTTTAAATATATAAACCAAGGGCTGCAGTAGCAGCAGAAAGAACAAAACCAGCTAATATTTGAGTTTACAACCCAACACAAATTGAGTGCCCTTAGACCCATTAATTTTGATGATACTAACAATATTATTGTTAAAATATTAATGACACCTAACAGCATTTGTAATCAAATGGAAGTGACACTGAGTTCATTTATACTTACTATCATGTAAGTACAGTGCTTTTTTTGTTAAAAAAAAAAAAAGGTGCCGGAACTCACATACACCATACAACCCGCCTGGCCTACCCTACAAGGTTCCATCCAAAACTCCGTTCTGGGCATTCTATGACAAAAAAAGCCCTGTGTAAGTGTGCAAAAGGTTGCAGTCTTTCCTACACTCTGTACTGTATAAGATAATTTGCTCAGTTTGCAAATTTCGCAATTCATTTTAAATTCAATTTTCTTTCCTCCCTCATTGTCTTTTCCAGCTGCAGACAAAACCCATTCAGGGCAGCGTAGACAATATTCTTGCTCCCAAAAGGAAACTGCAGCTCAACATGCTTCAGTATGAAGCACCCAATAGCTGAATGCAGAGAACAGAAGTCAAATAGTCCTAATTCTCTTAATTCAGGGGTTTTGATATCTAATTATATAGCATTCCCGATCCAGCCCACAGATGGCATGATTCATGAACAGTTCCCCTTCTCGTCTTTCAAAGAAGAAGAAAAATTGATGTCCTCCCTCCCACCTCCAGCCTATGAATTTGTCTAGGTGCATCAGTTTACATATAGAATAGAATCATAGACACATCAGAAGTTTTCTAGTCCAATCCTTGCCCAAGGCAGGGGGCCTTATACCATCCCAGACAAATGGTTGTCCAATCTTTTCTCAAAAATGTCCAGTGATGGAGCACCTCAATTCCAGGAGTCAAGCTATTCCATTGATTGATTGTTTTCACTTTCAGGAAATTTCTCCTTAGTTCCAGGTTGGATCGCTGACAAGCTTCCACCTATTGTTTCTTGCTCTGGAAAAATCCCCTTTTCTCTGTTACAGCCCCTCAAGTACAGGGAGATAGCTATCATATCACCCCTAAAACTTCTCTTCATTAAGCTGGATATACCTAGTTCCCTTAACCTTTCATTGTATGATTTTGCTTCCAGACTCCTTATCATTTTTGTGATTTTTCTCTGCACTCTTTTTAGCACCTTAGCATCTTTTTTGTATCTTGGCCACCAGATATGGATGCAGTATTCCAATTGTGGCATTACCAATGCACTATAAAGCGGTGCTATCACTGCTCATGATTTTGATGCTATCTCTCTATTGATGAGTCTAGGACTGCATTGGCCTTTCTGACAGCTACAACCCATTGCTGGCTCATACTCAAGTGTTGGTTCACTAGGACACCTCAATCTCTCTCACATTTAGTATTGCTGAGCCAGGTACCACTTATTCTGTACCTCTACCTAAGTGCAGAATCTTACTTTTCTCACCACTAAACTGTATCTTATTGGCTATGGCTCAATGCTCAAGTCTGTCAAGATTCTTCTGAATCTTGAATCTATTTTCCAAAATGTTAGCAATTTCCCCCAGCTTGGTGTCATCTACAAATTTGATGAACTCCTCTTCTATCCCTCATCAAGATTATTTATGAAGATGTTGAAGAGTACTGGGCCCAAGACAGAATGTTGAAGTATTCTACTACATGCTTCCCTCCATGTAGATGTAGACGACACACTGAGTGCAGTTGGTCAGCCAATTGAAAATCCATCTGATGATGGTACTATCTATCCCACATTTTTCTATCTTACCAAGAAGTAAGCTGTGGTCTACTTTGCCAAACGTCTTACTGAACTCAAAGTATACTATATCCATAACATTTTCCTTATGCAGTAATTTAGTCACTTTATCAAAAAAAAGACAATAACGTTTATTTGGCATGATCTGTTCTTAACAAACCCATGCTGTCTTTTAGTAATCTCCTTGTTCATTTCTAGGTGTTCACAAATCTGTTGCTTGATTATCTTTTCCAGGATTTTCCTGGCTATTGATGTCAAGCTGATTGGTCTGATTGGCCTATGGTTTCCTGCATCCGCCTTTCCCCCCTTTTGGAAGATTGGAACCACATCAGCTCTTTTCCAGTCCTCTGGCAGTTCCTCTGTGCTCCAGGAGCCCTGAAAGATTTTGTCCAGTGGTTCTGAGATCTCATCTGGCAGCTCTTTCAGAACCCTGGAATATAAACATCTGGTTCCGGCGATTTGAACTCATCTAGAATGGGTATGTGTTCTTTTACCAATTTCTTGCCTAATTTAATCTGTATTCCTGCTCTGTCTCTCATGGTGCTGCACTTGGTAGGTTGGATTATTTTTTTCCCCCTTTTTTTGAAGGCAGATGCAAAAAAGGAATTAAGTAATTCTGCTTTCTCCCTGCTGCCTGTTTTCTTCTTGCCATTATCTCCCATTAATGGACCAACCATTTCCTTGACTTTCTTCCTTTTTCCTTGCATATTGAAAAAAAAAAAACTTGTTGGGAGCATTTGTTACAAGTCTTAAATCATTCTGATTCTTAGCTTTCCTGACTCTGTTCTTGCAGAGTCGAGCTATTTATTGGTTTTCTGTTCTTTCCATTTTTTTTACTTGTCCTTTTTGTCCCTCAGTTTTTCAGAAGAGTTTTTTGTGCAACCATTTATTTAGCATGAGAGATGGTTGAAAGGGAAGATTGATTTTTGACACTATTAACAAATGTGGAAAAAAAAATCTGAAAAGTCTTCTGTTCACCATGGTGGCATATTAGAAAGCCTGATCAAGTTTATTATCCCAGCATGAGTTGCCAACTAGAACATTTCTGTGGCACCACCATTACCTTTGAGTGCTTTTCCTAAGCTAAATAAAAACATGAACTAGGAGGCTGAGTGAAATGTGATCTGTGAGTCAGAATACATGACAGCAATCTCTCCAATGAAAAAATGTATACCCACCAGCAGGATAAATAGGACTTTTGATGTTGTGTCACGGGAGAAAAACATTAAGCTGTTTTTTTTTTTCAGAAAAGATAAGAAACCAGTTTTATAGATTATCACCATGTCAGTAGTGTTGTGTGATGAAATTATTTTGTTTAATTTTATTTTTATTTAGAAAATTTATTTGCCATCCATCTTGTCTCCAACAACTCTGGAATGCTACGGAGCAGCAGAAACACAGAAAGAGTAGGTCTTGATGATTTAAGTGTTGAAGCCTTATTCAGAAATGAGCTCCGAATAAGTGTGTGTTACCTTATCTTTATTCCCTAGTTTGTTTTGCACTGGCCTCCAATAAACCATCCTATTTGTATCTATTTAGAAAAATATCTATTGCATTGTCAAGGAGAGATACAAGTTTGCATTTTTAATGTTTAATTGACAGATTTGCACCTGTTAAAAAAGGTATTGGATCTTCTTTTTTGCAAATGAGTCAAATATTATTAGACAATGGCAAATTTATATGCAAACTCTAAGTCCGTCAAGAACTTAAGACAGTTATTCACTTTCTATGTCTACCGCTGCACTGGGGTAGTTAGATGCTTTATGCTAAAAAATTCTTTCATGTACGATTCTTTTCCTGGAGAGCTTAAGGGAAATTAATCACATCTAAATCATCCCAGAAAATATATAAAGCCAGTGATCTTAATGCTGCCTTCTTTAAAAAAAAAATCTACTACTGTCACTTGATAATCTTGTGTTACCTATGCACCTTAAGGCTTATAAGAGAAAAATGAAGGAAGAAATTGCCCCTTTGAGAGCTGTTCATAAATGATCTTAGGCTGTCTTTCAGAACATTAGTCTCACTCTTTGTGAACTACACTTGACACATTGTAAGGTCTAGAGATTTTCTCCATCTCAGACTATTCTACATGGTTATTTGCCAGTAATTTGTATTTAGGAGATAGACTTTGAAAAAAGAATAGTCAATTTTACTCTGGGAGAACTGTATAGAGGGATCTAATCTTCCTACCTTTTTCAATCAGCCAAAGAGTTCTTATTCAGGAAAAAAAATGATTCTACTAATATCAGCAGAACTACTTAACTTTGAGTAAAGATCTCAGGATGAGAGTGTTCTCATCAAGTAAAATGTTCATCAGTTCCATTTGCCAAGCAGAAATGAATACATTTGTCCATGAGATTTGGGAACATTGTTATTGTTGTTGTTGTTAATTGCGAAGTCGTGTCCGACCCGTCGCGACCCCATGGACAATGTTCCTCCAGGTCTTCCTGTCCTCTACCATCTTCTGGAGTCCATTTGGGAACATAATAGTGTCATTTCAGCCTGGTGGGATGCAGATTAGTAAGCAGTGGGTCACAGATATCAGAAATGACAAATTCAAAAGGCTTTTTATCACTTTTCATGAAAAATAGAAAAGTTTTATTTTTTTTAAAAAAGGAAACCAGCAGTGTTTGTTTTGTTTTATCATGGAAAGTGATTATGTGTTAGATCTAGCAAAGCCTTCCTTCAAAGGCCAAGTGATGCTGCTCAGCTGGCTGAATGGTTAAGTAGTTATTTTCCATTCTGAATAGGGGGAGCCCCCCACAGTAAGAAACTTGAGCGGATCTGTATTCAACCTACTTCTGTTGGCAGAATAAATCTTCAAATAAAAACCCATGCTCATTTATTTTTCACATGTCATAGTGTACAAGTTCTGGCTAGTATACATGGTCTAAGAGTGGTTTGTGTTGAAATCTGAACATCAATGTATGATGAATGCAGATATGTTTTATCCTGTTTATATCAGAATAAACATGCATTACAAGGAGTAATGAGATGATCCTGCACTTTCTGAAAACACAAACTCTGGGTAGAGATCCCACATAAGGATGGTAGAAGCAAGAACAGGCTGATCATTGGCTGAGAAATGGGGAAGGGTTCAGCCTTGATCTCCTGTCCTATAGGTGCTCTGTGAATGATCCCATACTTAGGCTACTGCCCCCCTGCCATGTGCACAGAGATTATGTAGCACAGAGGTTATGTAGTATTTTCACTACCGTCATCCATTTTGCTGGATAAAGGGATGCCTTGACCTGAGATCTTACCTTAACACCAGATTGGGAAACAGGTGAGGATCTTATATCTTGAACACTTACTTGCCAGTAAACTGGGCATAACAGTAGCAATAATGGTAGTACTACTACAGTGGTGGTGAACCTATGGCACGTGTGCCAGAGACGGCACTCGGAGCCCTCTCTGTGGGCATGCGCGCCATGCCCCAGAGATGGCAACTGTCTTCTTCAACCAGCTGCCCGCTAACTTGCCAAGGTCCCATGCGCATGCTGGCCTTTGTGTGCGGGGGCCGATGGTGTCAGGCAGCAGCCCCCTGGCCCCTGCCTCGCCTAGCCCTGTGACATGGCACTCCCGCCCTGCCTCACCTCACCCCGTAGAACCAGCCTCCTGTCCACCGCCCCACCCGCCAGAGACCCCTGGATCTTCCCCAACCCTGCCCAGCCTCCACAGGTGTCCCTCCCCAGGAGCAACATTGAGTTGGCCATGCCCACCCTGGCCACGCCCACCCATCTGCCATGACCACCGTAGCCACACCCACCCAGCACCTGACAATACATAAGTGGGTTTTGGGTTGAAGTTTAGGCACTCGGTCTCTGAAAGATTCGCTATCACTGTACTACTACTACTAATGACAATTAGCAACACTTCCTATTGCCTGTAAATTTAAGGCACAATTTCCAAGAAAAACTTCCGCTCCCTTTAAAAGAGGAATTTGAAACAAAAGCATAACCATATTTTTTTAAAAAAAACAACAATGTATTAAAAATGATAATCAAAGAAAGCTTTTTAACTGTCTTCTGTTTTCTGTGCTACATCTGAACATAATGTCAAGGTTCCTTTTTTATTAACTATGTCTTGCAAACACTGAGTTTATTTCACATATATGCATAGTTTCTATTAACAGTAAAGCTCTGAACATTTTGTGCTTTTCTTTCTAGGGAAGGTTACAAAATAAATAGCTGTTTTTAAATCTTTGTTGTTTATTTTTTAATATGTACAAACAATAATAAATAGCAATACAATGGTGACCTTAATATTAAGTATTAAACTTAAAACAAAAATCTTTATTTCATAACAAATAATTTAATGTACTTTACAGTTGTTTATTATTACATTTAGCTTTAGATAGAGAATTTAGACAATGCATATCAACATTAATATTTTAGAAATAATATTTTATATTGATACAAGCTTCTTTTTTATCTTTAAAGTTTTCAATTATCTCAACATTAGAATCTTATTTAGATATGTCTTTTTTTAGGCTACACATTTTTAACATTAATTGTACTTGCTTACATAACATGTCTTTGTTATAACGATTTCAAAATTAGAGTATTTCCAGAAATACTCTAGAGAGAAACAGAGAAGTTTATAACCATGAGATGTTAATGTTTTGAACTCAAATTCCTAAGTATCAAATTCCTTTGATCTTTGTCTGCATGGGAGTAAATAATTTGCTACTATATATTGACAAGTTAGAATTGTTTGCTAATATCAATGAAATGCTAATAAGGACACATGCTCAATTATAGTGATTGAGAGATGGTGATTCATCAAGCAATTACCATAAAGAAAACTTGAATTTAAGTTCAGGACAATGAACAATGTTTGCATTATTTTTGGGTACACAACATTATACTGTGATAAATTGAAAAACTATGGTGTAGGTTTCCTCATCTTTCATTTTATTCCAGATCTGCTCATTCCAAGCTTAGAGGCAAATATTTCAGGAAAGAACATGCATGTATGCTTGTGATTGTGTATATACACCTACACACACACAAACACACATTCATTCCATTGCTTAGAATAATGACTCACGGGACCAGAGCTTTTTCTTCAAATTCCCATTTGAAAAACTCATTGCCTCTAGACAAACCCATTATTTACATCATATCTGATTTAAAAAACATTTTGCTTTGGGTTGTGCAAGCATATAAGAAAGCATTATTCTTGCAATAAATAACTTAAAGCATGTGGAGCAGTTTATATCATTTTCTACCCAAAGAAATATACTTTCTTTTCGATACAAGGTTTTCAAATTTTTCATTTCTAGGATTTAATCTTTATAGTAAAGGCAAAATTCAGCGAGCTGTCTCTTTTGGATAGGACAGCATATGTACTAGAATCATGACATTCAGTTTACATATTTCAGAAGAATGGAGAGTTTATTCTCTTTTTGTGATTCATTGACATACCTGATTTTTTTTCTATAATAAAAGTGAAGTTGTACTTCTTACCAGTTGATGAATTCATGAGAATGAATGTACTCTGTTTCTTTTTTACGTTCCTTTCTTGTAATAATATATTGATTGATTTTTGATTGATTATGTAGCATTAAGTAATTTTTTAATCCTAGTGACCACACAGATAAATTTTCTCCATGATAATCTATCCATAACCTGGTTTTTCAGGTCTTCCCTAACACCAGAGTTTTACGGTGTCAATATTCTTTCTAGCCTGCTTCTTCAAAGTTAACATTAACCTATTGTAATCATTTAACACCTGAAGCTGTTCTATTGTATTACAGAATCATGTACTAGTATCTTTCTGGACTAGACCTTTTTGTTGCAGTATGTATTATACATGCATTTTTCAATTTTTCACAGTGTGAATATTGCACTATACTGTACATTACAAAAGTCGAGCCTTGCCTTATCTACTTTGTGTTAGTTCTCTACATACAGAGATTAGAGGTAGGGGAAATGGGCAGACAGAAGAAATTCAAAACTGGCTTCTGGTGGGGGTAGCAAAAAATGTGGTAAGATTTTAGCTTCTAACTTATTGTTTCAGATCACTTTAATTATCCTCTGTCAACCCTCGAAATATGTCATCTTTTTCTGATTTAGCGTTGTGCAGATACGATTTCCTTTTTTAGATAGATTGGATTTCCAGAAAGTATTTACTATGACTTTTTGCCTCTGTTGAGTTTATTTATTGATTTATTTAATTTGTATCCCGCTTTATTATTTTTACAAATAACTCAAGGCAGCGAACATATCCAACATACCTTCCTCCTCCTATTTTCTTCATGACAATAACCTGGCGAGGTGGGCTGAGGGAGAGTGATTGGCCCATAGTTACCCAGCCTGATTTCATGCTTAAGGCAGGATTACAACTCACATCTTCTGTTTTCTACCCGGATGGCTAGCACTTTAACCATTAGAACAAACTGA